CATCATGTACCTATGTCTGGGGCTCACTCCAAAAGTTTCAAGTCTGAAGCCTTGCCGATTGTCAGCTTGTTGGCCTATTCATCCGCCATCCAACAAGTTATAGTTTGTCAAAATCCATCCATGTTAAGGTACCTTTAGACCGCGACACATGAGAGCCATGTCGGCTGGCGCTGACAGCCCTTGCTATGGGACTTACTGCACAAAAACGAAACTGGGGGCATCATGTACCTATGTCTGGGGCTCACTCCAAAAGTTTCAAGTCTGAAGCCTTGCCGATTTGTCAGCTGTTTGGCCTATTCATCCGCCATCCAACAAGTTATAGTTTGTCAAAATCCATTTATGTTAAGGTACCTTTAGACCGCGACACATGAGAGCCATGTCAGCTGGCGCTGACAGCCCTTCCTATGGGACTTACTGCACAAAAACGAAACTGGGGGCATCATGTACCTATGTCTGGGGCTCACTCCAAAAGTTTCAAGTCTGAAGCCTTGCCGATTGTCAGCTTGTTGGCCTATTCATCCGCCATCCAACAAGTTATAGTTTGTCAAAATCCATCCATGTTAAGGTACCTTTAGACCGCGACACATGAGAGCCATGTCAGCTGGCGCGGACAGCCCTTGCTAGGGGACTTACTGCACAAAAACAAAACTGGGGGCATCATGTACCTATGTCTGGGGCTCACTCCAAAAGTTTCAGGTCTGAAGCCTTGCCGATTTGTCAGCTTGTTGGCCTATTCATCCGCCATCCAATAGGTTATAGTTTGTCAAAATCCATCCATGTTAAGGTACCTTTAGACCGCGACACATGGGAGACATGTCGGCTTGCGCTGACAGCCCTTGCTATGGGACTTACTGCACAAAAACCAAACTGGGGGCATCATGTACCTATGTCTGGGGCTCACTCCAAAAGTTTCAAGTCTGAAGCCTTGCCGATTTGTCAGCTTGTTGGCCTATTCATCCACCATCCAACAAGTTATAGTTTGTCAAAATCCATCCATGTTAAGGTACCTTTAGCCCGCGACACATGAGAGCCATGTCGGCTGGCGCTGACAGCCCTTGCTATGGGACTTACTGCACAAAAACGAAACTGGGGGCATCATGTACTTATGTCTGGGGCTCACTCCAAAAGTTTCAAGTCTGAAGCCTTGCCGATTTGTCAGCTTGTTGGCCTATTCATCCGCCATCCAACAAGTTATAGTTTGTCAAAATCCATCCATGTTAAGGTACCTTTAGACCGCGACACATGAGAGCCATGTCGGCTGGCGCTGACAGCCCTTGCTATGGGACTTACTGCACAAAAACGAAACTGGAGACATCATGTACCTATGTCTGGGGCTCACTCCAAAAGTTTAAAGTCTGAAGCCTTGCTGATTTGTCAGCTTGTTGGCCTATTCATCCACCATCCAACAAGTTATAGTTTGTCAAAATCCATCCATGTTAAGGTACCTTTAGCCCGCGACACATGAGAGCCATGTCGGCTGGCGCTGACAGCCCTTGCTATGGGACTTACTGCACAAAAACGAAACTGGGGGCATCATGTACTTATGTCTGGGGCTCACTCCAAAAGTTTCAAGTCTGAATCCTTGCCGATTTGTCAGCTTGTTGGCCTATTCATCCGCCATCCAACAAGTAATAGTTTGTCAAAATCCATCCATGTTAAGGTACCTTTAGACCGCGACACATGAGAGCCATGTCGGCTGGCGCTGACAGCCCTTGCTATGGGACTTACTGCACAAAAACGAAACTGGAGACATCATGTACCTATGTCTGGGGCTCACTCCAAAAGTTTCAAGTTTGAAGCCTTGCCGCTTAGTCAGCTCTTTGGCCTTTTCATCCGCCATCCAACAAGTTATAGTTTGTCAAAATCCATCCATGTTAAGATACCTTAAGACCGCGACATATGAGAGCCATGTCGGCTGGTGCTGACAGCCCTTGCTATGGGACTTACTGCACAAAAACGAAACTGGGGGCATCATGTACCTACGTCTGGGGCTCACTCCACAAGTTTCAAGTCTGAAGCCTTGCCGATTTCTCAGCTTGTTGGCCTATCAAACAAGCTATAGTTTGTCAAAATCCATCCATGTTAAGGTGCCTTTAGACCACGACACATGAGAGCCATGTCGGCTGGCGCTGACAGCCCTTGCTATGGGACTTACTGCACAAAAACGAAACTGGGGGTATCATGTACCTACGTCTGGGGCTCACTCCAAAAGTTTCAAGCCTGAAGCCTTGCAGATTTGTCAGCTTGTTGGCTTATTCATCCGCTATCCAACAAGTTATAGTTTGTCAAAATCCATCCATGTTAAGGTACCTTTAGACCGCGACATGTCGGCTGGCGCTGACAGCCCTTGCTATGGGACTTACTGCACAAAACGCAACTAGCGGGATTCAGTGACTACATCTTGCATTTTCTCCAAAAGTCTTGGGTCTCAAGACTTGCTTGTTTTTGCATGTTGTAGACCTATTCAGTAGCTTTCGAACAACATAGAGTTCGTCTACAATTTTGCATTCTAAAGTACCTTTATCACACTGCGAGGCCATGGCGTGCCCTTCTATCGGACTTACTGCACAAGTGAATTAAACTAGGCGGTGAAATTCAATACATCTGCGATTTTCTCCAAACGTGCTGGGTTTACGAACTTGAATGCCTTTGCATCTTATTGCCCTGCTAATTAGCTTGCTAAAAAAACATGTAAAGTCTGTTTGGAAAATTCCATATTCGAGGGCATTTTTAATCCGATATATCAAGCTCGTACCGCGAGACCAGACATGCCTTTTCATGGGAGTTACTGCACAAAGTGAAACTAGGGGGTGAAATTGAATACATCTGCGATTTTCTCCAAAACTGTTGGGTCTATGAACTTGAATATTTGTGCATCTTATTGCCCTACTCATTAGCTCTCTAAGCATATATAATTTGTTTGGAATTGTCCATGTTCAAGGGAATTTTATTCCGATATATCAAGCTGGAAAAGCGCGGCCCTGATATGCCTTTCTATGGGCTAGTTTGTTTGAATATTTCATTTTTAAGGGCATTTGTATTGCGATATTTCAAGGCGAAATCGCGCAGATCTGACATGCCTTTCTACGGGACGTACTGTGCCAAGTGATACAAGGGGTTACATAAAACACATCTGTGACTTTCTCCCAAACTATTGTGCCTAAGAAGATGTTTGTTTTGCTTCTTGTTGCCCTGCTCATGAGCTTTCTCTAGAACTGTCCAGCCGAGATTACAGCATTTCTATCAACCATTATATAGGCTATAGTATAATTTGTCTGAGACGTTGCGTTGCCACATACATTTGTTATTCAGATGCAGGGAGCCAGTATCGCGTGGGCTGACAGACCTATACATGGCGGGATTTCCCACACACAAAAAAGCTGCATTCGTTACTTTTAGCTGAAATAATATCTAGAGGAGCCAATGCTACTATGTTGTTGATGGCTCTCTCAAGCTTCACGTACTCGACGACTAATTGACGGGATCCCGTGTCAGAAATCCTCCTGGAGGTCTCTCATCGGTGCAGCTACGGTTGCTTTACAGTGAGGAAAAATCCAGTGACTTTGAATTCCTCATTTATCTTTGAAAGAACCAAAGTCTGCATTTTCCCCCACTGTGATTCATGCAAAGAATTGAAACTCACCGCACTTGATACCTCCCGTCTCCGACTTGAAAGAAAACCTTCCTGGTCGCTGCATTGGCCGCAAGGGTTAGTGCCATCCGTATCTGCCAAGGAAAAAAACCGCTTTATTTTGAATATTTTGCTCTCATGCACTTCATCGTGAGAGCACATTTGCGTGGAAGGATATACATAGAAGGGTCAGGAATAATTATCAAATAACCAACAATATTTGGTGTCGAGATTCCCTTCCCCAAGTGTTCACGTAAAGTGATGTCGGCACCTTGATCGCAACAACTTGCGGTATCTTTGTCTGTTTTATTATAATTTTCCAAAATGTACCGTAAAATTAGTTGAAGCTTCGCAACATTTCTAAAGCATTTTTTTTTTCAATATCAATTTTGTAGATAGTTCAGTTTTACTTTGAGAAAGGAATTTTCACGTCACTTGTGGTTGTGTAAATCGTTACTTTATTTCACAAATCATCATAAGTCGGGAATACAAAAAGCTGAGATGCGGAGTAGGATTTTTTTTTAAATGGGGCTAGGGGCACCAGTATTTTATGGGGGGCAACAAAATGCCCTTAATATTCCCATAACAAAATTTTGCTCCCTCCCGCGTGCTTGGGGGAGGCGAGTGGGGGTTGGATGTTACAGTGGAGGGGTGGCCAATTTCATCTTGAACTAGACTTTTTTTTCACAAGACACCCAGCCTCCGTAAAATCAGAAAATTGGGGATGGGGGAAGGGGAGAAGGGGAGAAGGGGGAAGGGGGAAGGGAGGGAAGGGGGTGGGGCTGGACAACATCTTCCTATGGGGCGCTAATCAAAACCGACATCATGTTTAATGTCAGACAATAGGTGGCTCTATAGTAAATTTCCTATTGACATTAAAAAAAATACATGATAAACAGCCAATTGTGAATAACTTGAATACTTAGGGTTTTCGTTCAAATTAAACAGAAAACCGCACAAAGAATCACTTTTTGTTATAACGAGGTAAGCATGCTAACATAATTAAAGGAATAAGAGTTTCTCTGGTTCTCAAATTTTCAGTGGTGGGGGCGATGGGGTTTCTTTTTATTTTAAAGGGGGCCGTGCTCTAAAAAACAGCCACTCTCTCGCGCTGCATGCCCGGCCTCAAGTGGCAGGTGGCCCCTCCCCCCACCTCCGATTCGAATTGGGGTTTTCTCCATGGCAGGAGCAAACAGCGAGATTAATTTCCCAATTAAATGTTCCATGATCGAAAACGGTCATACAGCTGATCATGACTGAGCGCCTGATATCGATAGGGCGCGGCGCGTAAAACCCAATAAATATAACCCTCTGACCAACCGACGCCTCTGCATATGACGTTTTCTGTCAATAGATGGCAGTGTTTATTATCTTCAGAATTAGAAACTGCTGCTAGCTCAACAATGACATGAATGATACAGCAGGCAGTGTGGGCGACGCTTTGTTTTGTGACTGATTGTGTAAGCTTTTTTTCAATGGATGTGGTTATTCAGTGTAGTTTGATTACAAAATGACACCGAATTTGGAACGCTGACTGGTTTTTCAGAGGGGTTAGTCTTGGGTCCTTAAATATGGGTAAACTCCTTGTTCTTCTTTCAAATCTGTATGTCTTCGGTTTGGTTACTGCGAATGTCTGCGTCCACCGACCCCCAGCTCGCAATGAGGTAAGAATTAAGCGATCGTGTTGTATAGGGGCCTATAGGGATCCGTTTTGTTTCGATCAAATTATAATCAAGAATTTTTTACTACTAAGTAAAAACTGACATTGTCAACCTAAACTAAAGCAGACTTTTCTCAATGTAATGACACCTCTTTGGTAAGTTTTGAACAGTTTCTTGGGGTAGAAATTGTGATTTTCCTAAATGGTTCACGCCCCAATTTACGAGCCGGTTAGTGCCGGCCGTGCAGCAAGAATTGTGCGTTCACGGTACATGGTGCGGTGATATCCATTTTTATTTTCGTGTTGCATTTTACCCCCAATTTCCCTCAAAAATTCAAAAACTTGCCCTTTAATCTGTGACATAAAAAAAAATGTACACGTCGGGGGGGGGGGGGGGGCAGAATAGGAAGGCACATAAAATGACAGCATGCCAGAAAGAATAATTTCACTGGGAGTTTTAATAGTGCCATATGCTTTTCAACAAAAAATTGTCAGTTAATAGGGCCTACTTTTTGGATAGCTGCAAATGATTCGCTCCACCTTTAAATATTTTGTGATGTCGCTTCTTATTTTTTTGGCACACAACTTAATTTTGGAAACTAAATTATAGGCCTTTGTGGATTTGTTTACAAACATATTGTCAACAAATGTCAACAAACAGGATCAGCGTCATACTTTTAAATTGTGTGATACATTGGAAATAATCTTAGGCAGCCCACTGAGTATTGTTAACACCTTATTTTTGCTGATAAGTGCGTGAACAATTTTTTTACGCTTTGTTGACGCTTGTTTTTCACCAGCCATGTACTTTCAAAGTTACCATGGTTACTCAGTATTGCTGCCATCTTCATTTTTGAGTCCTGTGTTTTGTGGTCAATGTGTTTTTACCCCGTAAGTTGCCTCACAAATCAAAACTCTGCCATATTTCCACAAAATAAATCCTGCTGATATTCAACATGGTATCACTGCCACTAGTGCCAGCTGTATAGGTGAGTCCAAAAATACTAACATTTTGCCATGAGAATTAAATCTGCTTCTCATATAGGTCTACAGACAATTAAACACAATTAAGAGGTCTACATCTTCACCGCCACAATGAATTGGTATCTGAATTTGTAATGCTGTCGGCTGAAATCATAATTGCCTATATTATTAAACCAATCCTGTATTTTGTACAAATTTGTTCGCATGAACAGCATGGATGAAGGTTGTAGCCATTACTTCATTGAACTTCGGTGTATATGTAGGTGCCAGAAATATCATGCCGATTACACTTTGGACTTTTGACATGTTTGAATGGGTTCAAGTGAGTGGGAAAAAGTACATTGTACATGACCCATAGTGAACTACTTAATGTACATTTGTAAATACTTTTTGTTTGAACACGTACACAAGTCATACCTCTTGTAACAATGTAACTTACTGTCATGACTGTGGAATAAATCATAAACAACTATCCCTATAGCTGAGTCTTCTGGTCGCTCATGGACTACATAATTAGTTTTGATCCAAGCCCCATATCACAAATCACTCTGTGAACAAAGAAGCACGTATGAATGTCTATTGAAATACATGTAGGGTCTTTCACATAATTGTTCTTAGTAGTACACATAATATGCCAAAATGTGTTTCACACAAGGATACATCCATACTACACATTATATAATACAATCTATACGTTGGGCCAAAAAAAAATAAGTTGGTCTCTGGTCAGCGCGCGCATCGATTTTAATCATGCGCGTCAACTTTTTTTTTTTTCAAATTGTCGGCGGTAGCTACAGCAGCGCCCTCTATTGCCCCACCTCCTCAAATTTTTGTACCAAGGAATTGGGAAATTGCACCAAGGCAAATGATGGAGGGCACCAAGGCAAATTACGGAGGTCCCCAATGTACATGTATATGAGGACACAACAAAAGCAAAATAGTACCCACCTTGTCTGTACAATCCAAGCTTCAAAAAAAAAAAAAGGCCCCAAAAAAAAAAAACCATTGCATCGCCGCATCAATTCCGGAACTTTGTTCTGACCAGAGACCGAATATTTTTTTTCTTTGGCCTTACATGTACACATGTATGTATAATTTGCAGAATCCCTTCTCACCCCACCATTCCCCCATCAAACAAAAAGCCAAATGGACCATCTACGTACTCTCTTTCACATTAAACAGGAAGCAATCATTTTTAAGCATGTTAATTTAAATACAGTGCAAGTACATGTTCATGTGTGTTCTTGGAAAAAGTGGTGATCCACTTTTGAGGGTCGCATAGTGCAATGCAACCATTCATGATTCGAAACGGAGCCTGAGCAAGGGACGGGAATTGTAAATTTACAACACAGATAAATTTTACGAATTTTCATACGTTATTACGCTTTTCAACGAAAAAAAAATCTCTAATCTGGAATAAAAGAGTAATGAATCAGTCTTAATGGCTGTTTCAAACCTTGCAGAGTCATGACCGTGATGACGCACAGGTCCCGCAAAATCCAACCAATCAGAGCGTGAATTCATCAGAGTATCCCAGCGTCCTGTTTACTGGTGTGCTGACATTTTCTAGAAACTTTCTTGGCTTTTTTCTAAAACTGCTCCAAATTTTCATTTTTAGTTGTTCCGCATTTTCTTTGCAGTACATGTAGATTACACACAAGTGGGGTACAAGCCTGCCAGACTGATTCTCTTACCTTACAATTCCCCAAAGTCTATAAATTCTCCAAAGTCTATAAATTGCTCTGTTTCATCTTAAGTGGGTCATGGAACCAGACTACAAGTACAAGAATATTATTGGTTTTCTTAATTTTTCCAGCATCAACAAGCCAAAACATGTCAGTTGTTCAAACAATATTTGCTATAATATACTAATCCTCCTAATCCAATTTTTTCTGAAAATTGCAGCAAAAGCAAATGTTGTACATTCCCTTTATTTGAGAAGCACTGGCTAGGGCTCATTGGATAAGCTCATTGAGCTGAAAACTTGGAAGACATTTGTATTTAATTATATAGACTTCATTCATTGTACAGCCCCAACTTCAACAGAATGCATTTTCAATAAGACAAAGTTTACCTTTGAATGCAAAGTCTGTGTGATATCCTGTTTGTCAGTATGCGAAAACTATATGTTGCAAACAATTCATAATTTAAATGCAAATTTTGCCAGCACTTCACATAATTCTGAGCAGTGCGATGTTTAAATTTGTTGTGACCACCGTGGCATCAAAACATCTCAATTTTTCATCTCTCAATAAATCCTTGCCAGCTTGCTTTTGATTAATTGTGCTGGTTGCCAGCAAACGTGTGAATGTTTTTCATGCTTCTATAGCAGCTTGACAGTATCCAATGTGACATACTTATCCTTAACCTTCTCGCCTAACCATATTGGCTTTCCCCGCTCCTACTATTTTAATTAAGAAGTGATACACTGTACTATATTCTTGTGTTGTGCAGTGGGACACATGCACATCATAGGATCCCCTCCCATACGTTTATGTACAAAGAATGTACATTGTATGTAACAGTATGGGTCATCATATATCAGGTACATGTACGTACATAATGTAATTAATCATAAAGATGTGTGCATGTATGTACTTGCACATAGTACATACATGACGTACATGTAATCAAAAAACAAACCATAATAAAAAAAAAAAAATTAATTCTGCGTGTTTTTCTACATGTTGGTCGGTTAGGGGACTAGGGTACATGTAATAGGAAGCGCACAAAATGAAGGTACAGTATTCTTTTGTTGGCCTGACTTTGTGTGTACTAGGCATGTCCAACCCCAATAGTGGCAAGATGAGGGAGGGGGGGAGAACTAGCAGTGATACGATACATTGTAAAAAGCCTTCTCAAATCTCCATATACACACATTCAAAAAGGTGGTCTCTCTTGAATCTCATCCCTTCCTTCTCCAACTAAAGTTTCAAAGTTTTAAATCCATGATTATGAAATGTAGTTTTAAACTGTTGGAAAGAAAGATTTCATAATGGTTATTTATATTTTAGCATCTTGCTTTCTTATGCCTAAGTTGCACATATTATGGTAGGTTCCTGTAAAACAAATGAAATCTGATCATTCATTTCCTCATAAATGATCACAAATTTTCAAATTAATGAACAAATTTACGAAACCGCTTGTACATGTATACATCCATTAATGCCATGATGTTGTTTGTTACAGATAAAGCACGGTGTACATCTTGAGCAGGCACCTGGGGATAGACTAAAGCGAAGGAGCGCTTCACATCCGCTACGAATCCATGTGGAATACGAAGATGATGTCGACTCCTTACCCGCTGCGACTTCACTTCTCGTTAAGGTTTGCCATTCAGTAAATGTGTATCAATGTGTTTCTTTGGGCTCAATTGAAACACTATGGTACTATTAGTTATCGCACAAGCGCTAGTGGAACACGGAATAACGTAGTGCGTCAGTGCAAATGGGACACAGATGCACTACATTTTCCCTGTGACACGAGAATGAGTGAATAACTTATTTATCTTCAAGCAAACTTGAGGCACAGTAAAGATGGAACGAGCACGCTGTACACGAACTTGTCAACGGTTATCCTATTGCACGTGCGTGCAGCAGGAATAAAGGGATAGCGTGATAAAGGGAGTGCAATGTGGACCGTGGCATACGGGACGATGCCACAACTGTTGTTGCCATGGATCAACCATTTAGGATCGAGAATTAAATTTTGCTTGAAGATACATGTAAACTGTACACGGGGTTTAGTCTTTGAGGATTTTACTGAAGTCAAAGAGTTTAACTTCCTGAAAGAAACTGTCTTAAAAAAAAACAAGTACATTTGTGTACATATATATGTAATAACATCAACTTACAAGATACAACATCCTTCAGGAAATATGGTTTGCAATATACGTCACTGCTGCTGCCCCCCCCCCCCCCCCCCAGTCTATAGAATATCCTCTTGCACACGTGCCAAGAGTCTGTGATGCAATTGGCAATTAATTATGCAGAACAAGACTGCGTCTTGACGCCTTCTATCGGAAATTCCGTAACCATTATTTTATTTAACGTAACCTACAATTGTACATAACCGATGTAAACCTATATTTTTATTCTGCCACACATTTCAAAAACAAAATTAAAGAAAATTGTAAAAATCAATTTGACCCACAAGTTGGGTTATCATTACGCCAACATAACAACATTGTCAGTATACCTACCGGGGGTAGCTCTGAGATTTTTGTTTACAAACTTGTTTTAGAATAAGGCGAATTTGCATGAAATTTGGTTTAGGTACATTTAATCTAGTGTCAAGAACTTATGGAAGTTATTTGCTATATTTCTGCTACCAGTCAAGCCAAAATATTGCATGGTTTTGCACCTTAAAAACATGCCAATATTTTGGCACATGGAAGAAAACCTTTAAAAGCGTATATTTTGAGTTTCAAAACCTGTTAAGAATAACCTATATTGATGAAGAGGGTGACTGTGAGGCCCGACACAATTTTTTTTTCTCGGCCTAACAGATGCTTGTACCATTTTCACACCCTACAAATTTCATAACGTTCATTACATTGGGAGACGTTTTATATGTTGGTGGCAGCAAATATACAGGTCCTTTTCAATTGTTTATGTCATATTTAAGCCAAAGCACGCATGCTCAATATGACGCAAACAATGGAAAAAGGACCGGTATGTTTGCTGTCACCAACGCCTCAAAAGTTGCCCATTGTGCAATCTGTGCAAAGCCCATGTTCATCCCTAACATGCTACATGTCCATGCATTGACGCACAACATATTCTTCACCTTAGCATCGGGATTTGATTTTGATGTGATTCATACAAGACGAGCCGAAGCCCCAAAATAAATAAACCACTTCCAGTTGACATTATCTGTCAGGAAGGCGGCCCTCGTCAAAACAATTCAAGATTACTTCTTGACAACATATTGAGCGGTGATACTGATATTGTGAACCAAGACAGTGGTGAGCCAGTTCTACGCCTGTTGCAATTCCGACATGTTTTTGTGGTTGATTGGGTCTATTTTTAATAAGGGAAATTTTGAAATTTCTTTGTTTTTTTTGTTTTGGTGGGTTTTTTTTTGTGGTAAACTATTGTACAACCATGACAACTGTATGTTGTCATGTGACTTATTACAAAAAAAAGGTCATTTAGAAAAACACTTTCCTTTACTATTTTTGGTTTAGAGTATTCTTGTTTTTGTGTTTCTATTTCAGTCTTTTTCTTTTAATATTTGATCGACAAAACATGGCCCTTTGAATGAGTGTCAGTAGACAACTTGAGCTAATTCGTTATAAATTGGGGCATATACCTTCTGACCGTACAAAAAACACCACATTAATAACACATGAATAACAAGAAAAGAAAAGGGCAAACAGATACTCGAATCATACGCTTACAAAACTACTGACCGGAAAAACGAACAATTTCAAATGTCCCGCGCTGCGAATTTGTCGACCATCTCCCACAATGCACTGGGAAAATTGAACTCTCCGTGGCAAACTCTTGGTGGCGCACTGCATTGTGAATCGCCCGAATTGGCTTGTTGACAACAATGGTTGATGTTTAGTTCAGTAACCTTTTTGATACATATCCCTGTGGTTTTCTATACTAATTTTAATTAAGAGTTTTTTTGTTTTTTTTTGTTTTTATTTCACCCTTGTTATTTTTATATTTTGATTATGTGAAAGTTCAACGTTGAGGAATGAGTGAATTGAATTACTTTTTAGGTTTTAATTACCTTTTTTTAATGGGCTTGTTTGATGTTTGGATTGTTTCGTGTTCAATGACTTACACGGGTCAATAGTTGACTTCCTCATTTTTGTTATTTATATAAAGTTGTTTGTGTCGAGCTACATTTACTTACATAAGAAGTTACAGTTTTGTTTTTTCTGGTTCCTTCCTGTATGCATTCAAAATGTTTTTTCTGGTTCCTTCCTGTATGCATACAAAATGTTTGTTCTGGTTCCTTCCTGTATGCATACAAAATTTGCATTCATTTTGTAAGTTATTATTCAAGTATTCCTAGATAGGCCTACATACATTACCTGTATTTCCAACTACTGTCTACATAATGAAATTCCCAGGTGTTCATCAGCCATGCCCGCTATTATTGAACTGGTTCTCAATCATAACACAAACATGTACCTTTAAATGCTCAATCCATCAGTCTACCATGAAAAAAAATCATTGAGAGTTAAGTTTCATAATTTCTAAGTGCCTGAGACCAATATACTGCCGAGCATGGAAGCATACAATAAACAGTACCTGCATCAATACAAACATGTACCGTACACGTATGTAATGTACAACATATCGGTACGGTGCATTGTAATTGCTAAGTATCCAAGCTGCCTCTTATCCAACCCTACCCATCATTAGGGAGATGTATGGGTTGCCATAGCAACCAGCCACTTACTGATCCCCAATTACTGTATCCGTCACAATGCGGAGGTGGCCCTGGTGTGTTACAGATTATACGGCCCCAAGGAGGAAGAGAGGGCATACATTCAACTCTTTGAAATGAAAATTGTTTTCTTTCCATTCTGTATGTGAAAGTCTTTGACATGTATGGAATAAAAATTGTCTGTTGGGTATCATCCTGTTCCTCTACCTTGTGAGATAATTTAATGTTTCCATTCTGATTTTTGCAGAAAGTCATTGGAGTGTACATGTGTACATGATATCTGATGGATTAATATTTTCTGGCCTATCGTAATGCTCTAACTTTTTTCAAGCCTAATGTAATTTGTACAAGTACATGTACATGTGGGTGTATAGTGTGCTTTGTCCAGACATCCATTGCCTGACATGCCTGAAGGCTATAGACAACCCATGCGGAGAGTGGTTTATCGCTCTCAAGAAGTGTCTCATGCACACTGTGTGCAGTACTTGTATCTTTGACAGTGTTAAAGGTACATTTAAAATGTCCTTTGCAAGTCTCTGTCAAGGGATATAACATGTATAAGGACAAGACTTTCATACAAGTAAGCGTGTTTGTCTTCAGAACTTTTTCTCTTTTACATGCACATGTTCCTGCTGGTGTAGCATATGTACCTGAACATGCTTGAACATTGTAAATGTTGATCCCTAAAAAAATGTACTCGAAAAATGTACTTGAAGAACATGAACCGGTACATGACTTGCCACTATAGTCACTCATGATGTACATGTACATGTAGCATACAGGAGAACACTACATTGTAGCTTGTCACATGTGCATGGATGTCCATGTTTTTGCAACACATTCAATGAGCATGTACCATACATGCACATAAACATTTACATGTACATGTAGAGCCCTGTATAAATCAGAATACATGTACACGTACATGTACCTGTTAATAACATACATTGTATTTGATTTGAATGGCCTTAGCTTTGTACATAGTCCGAAGAGAACATACACTATGTACATGTATGTAATCTTTAGAGGCATTGTCCAAGTGTGTTCATGGAATTAGGATGGTCTTAGGTGTTCTAAACCATTAGCTTTATGAACGCTAGCATGAATTCGGTCAATGACTCCAAAAGGTTCAATAGTATGAAATAGACATTGACGTATACATTTAGTACAAAGTTACAAAATAAAAAATTAGATGATCTAAATTTAATTGTGTTTTTCCAATTTGTTGGTTTTTTTCTACAGAATGATCTTTTACCTAAAGCTGTCCGTTCCATTTCCCGTATGCTGAATGTCAGGTCAACTTCAACAGGTCCCATCAGGTTAAACAGGTGAGGCTAGACTTGCTCCAGTCTTTCGTCCTGATGCCCTTCAAAAAAACATAAAATGAAAGGCATATCAGATCATTTACTTTTCATGCATTTTGTTTGTTTCCAAAAATAACACAACTCAAAATCCAAAACAGAATGTTCAATACTTTGAAGTTTCAGCTCAGTGGATATTACATTTTTCGAGAAAACGGTGAAAAACAGTGCACAACCTTTGGATCACGAAACACGATTTGTTAACAGCACTCTTTATTTCCAAAAACCAGTCAATTGACTGATTGTTGGAAATCACCTATATTTCTTGATTTCTTCTAAATGACAGTATAAGCCACACAGAATAATTTTTTTACGGGATGTTCAGTACGTGTATGATCTTTAATCCAAGTAAGCTTTTTGTATGGTAATTCAGTGGGTTACTTTCGGGATCAATGCAAATGATACTACGTGCCTTTAGATAGAAAATGTACTTAAAACATTTGCAGAAATCAAAATTGTGAAAATGCTACAAATTGTTTTGAAACAGTGATGAATAATAATAATAATAATAGTAACGGAAATTTATACCGCGCCATTATCCGCCATAAATGACGCTCATGGCGCAAACAAAAATTATATCAAATCAGAAATAACAAAACAATTAAATTTAACTAAACAAGAATATTCTGAGTGGTCTGAAACAAATAGGTCTTTAGGGCAACTTTAAATTCAGAAAGCGATGAGATATTGCGAATGGCGAGGGGTAGTTTGTTCCAAAGATGAGGACCTGCGTGAGAAAATGATCGATCACCCCAAGATGCGAAGATTTTGGAGTATTTTCCCGTTTCAGTAATTGATCAAGACCTGGCACCAAAAAAAGTCTGTCTGGGAGACCCAGTCCTTAATACACATCTCTTTCTTTTGGTGATGTTATCGGCAGAATGTAGCTTTCATGCCCTGATGTACAAAATTCGTTGTGTTTTTGTCTTCACCATGATTACGGTATGGTGAGGAAGTTATGTCAACTTTTTTCCCTCCTGTTTCCAATGGCAGAGCGTGTGCCTTTTCTCATTACTACACATTGGCTAACGACACCCATGAATACTGCTCGGGATCATGCAACAGCATCACACGGTGCGGACCGGTCACCATTCCTGACAAACATCTACATGTAAGTTGGATTTCTTTTGTAAATTACTGTAAAGGAAGGTTTAAGAGAGGTATGAAAAGATGCGGAATGCAGTACCTGTACCATGTATTTCAACATTTGTTCATGTAACATTTTACAAATGTAAATTACATTTAAATTACAACGTTTATAGACTATTAAATTCCATTCCCATAAGAGTTCAGTGGCAGACTCTGTATCTAAGAGACTTAAGCATTGTTCAAATTTAATTCATTTTGAACCTTTATTTAATTGACTTTAGCACTTTGTTCCCTGTTTAGGCTTGTTACACCTGTGATGAAACGCAGAGCAATTGCCACAAGAGCGGAGGCGAGACTGGGCCGGGTGTGGCTGACACAGATTTCATCCTGTACGTGACCGCTGAGAACACCTCCGATTGTCGGATTGCAGACACCACGGCCCACGCGTCATTCTGTCAGTTGGAGGCCAGCCAAGATAGGTTGGTACTTGTGTTTGTATCTCAGAGTTGAAATCAAGTCAGTTGTAATAAGTTCATCACAAGTCATATCGAAAGTAAGGGGGGATGAACCTTTGGCAATTGGAGGCCAGCCAAGATAGGTTGGTACTTGTGTTTGTATCTCAGAGTTGAAATCAAGTCAGTTGTAATAAGTTCATCACAAGTCATATCGAAAGTAAGGGGGATGAACCTTTGGCAATTGGAGGCCAGCCAAGATAGGTTGGTACTTGTGTTTGTATCTCAGAGTTGAAATCAAGTCAGTTGTAATAAGTTCATCACAAGTCATATCGAAAGTAACGGGGGATGAACCTTTGGCAATTCGTTTGAATTACTAATACATGACTTGAGACTGAATGACTTGTGATTGACTTGTGATTGACTTGGGATGACTTATGATGACTTGGGATGAAATGCGGCAGCCTGATCCCAAATTGGCTGGACGTATAAATCAACATATACTTTTCCACAAAACTCCCAAGAATGGTCAGTCGCAAGTCAATCACAAGTCAACTTGTGATTGACTTGTTATGACTTTTGAGGAATTGTGATAACATGATGACTTGTTTGTCATTGTGTCCTGTCCCACAAAACCTTACAGAATGACAAAAATAACTCTGATTCCCATTGTGTTTCAGTATGCATATTAACCTTAGCCACTGGAAATCCACAAAAAAAAAACAACTCTTGATCCTATCCAATCAATTGTCTGTGGTTGGAATAGAATTGTTTCATTTGTTTTCTTTGTAGACCAATTGCTGGTTACATCAACTTGTGTCCTCAAGCGTTAACCAGTGACCCTGTCCAGAACACCATGCAACTTACTACAGTACAGCATGAGATTATCCACTCACTGGTAAGAATCCTATTAAATCACAAGGGTTTTGTCTACAGTGTTAGTAATAGTCCAGCGGATATGTGACAAAATATCGATGAATTGTGCACTTTTGCATAAAAGCGTGAAACTTTGCACAGATGTTCATATTCATGCTAGAAAATGTTTTAGATGTGGAGCCATCGCAAATTTACTTTTTTAGGGGCGTGGCATCCATTTAAAAAAAGGGGGCGGGACTTGTCGTGCCCGCAGTGAAAACGGTTGTTCCCAGTTGTCACAAAAGCAGGAAACTTCACAAAGACATAATTATATAGATTATAAGTGTTTTCCAGATTCGGAGCCACCACAAAAGTACCTTTTTGGGGGCGTGGCAGCCATTTAAAAAAAGGAGGGGTGTAATTATTATGCGCACCTTAGAAAAATATTGTGCCCATATTTCATGAACGAATCAAACATCCCCCAGACGTTTATGTTCATTAGAAAAAAAATTCCAGATGTAGAGCCATCTCGAACACACCCTTTTAGGGCGTGGCAACCATATCAGGAAAAAAGGGGGGCGGGGTTTTCATTATGTCCACCATGGAAATATTGTTCCCACATTCACAGAGAAATGGAACTTTCCACAGACATTGGCATTCATGAGAAAAAATTCAAGATGTGGAGCCATCGCAAATACACCCTTTTAGGGGCGTGGCAGCCATATTGAAAAAAAAGGGGCGGGGTTCTCATTATGCCCACCATGGAAAAAACGTGCCCACATCTCATAAACGAATGAAGCTAATTCCTACAGACATTAATATTCACCAGAAAACAAATTGAGATGTGGAGCCATCGCAAACACACCCTTTTAGGGGCGTGGCAGCCATAGTAATATGGGGGGGGTAGTCATGATGCCCCTATAAAAAAGTTGTGCCTACCTTTCATAAACGGATTAAACTCCACACAGACAATATATTTAGAATCTTACTTTTTTCGAATGTGAAGCCATCACAAACCTATCCTTTTAGAGCCGCGGCATCCATTTTCAAAATGGGGGGTACTCAATATGCCCACCGAGAAAAATTTTGACCGCTTTTTATATAATAAAATCTACCTCAGATAGTTCTGAGCTTATGAACTTTTTTTAAAGTTTAATTGTTTGACAATTTATAAATAAAATATTATCTACAAAAACTTTGCACCTACAAAAAGTTTGCTCCCTGATCCAATGGCTGAGTTTCAGTATCAATGGTTAGTGCATGGTACATGGTGTCGACATAAACCGATACCGATTGATTTGAACACGTACGGTACTGGTTTCAAATGGACAATGTGAACTGATGATGTTGATCTTGATACTTGTTTGCAAAACCATAAAACACGACCACTATTGTGCTTTCAGTTTCAATTTTGGAATGAAACCTCTGGTTTTTCCTGCCCAAAAGTGTACATCTGTGCATTTGTTTTAAAGCTTTTCTCATTTGGTGTATCTTTTGTCTTCTCTTTTGTCTCAGGGTTTCACTGCTGCCCTGTATGCTTTCTACCGAGATAGTAACGGTAATCCCTTCACCCCTAGAGATGCATCAGGTCTGCCACCTTTCAATGAAAGGTAAAGTTGTGGCCTCAGCAACGTTGTAAAACTAGATTATACCTAGAATCACAGGTTTGTCATTACAACATAAACATACATATATTAGCACAGAGTGTTTATACAACATTTTGTAGTGAAGAGCCATTATCTCTCTTAGTGATCCCTGATTTTCCCATTTCCCGGGTTTGCAGCTCATTGCTGGTATCATGCATTTTTGGGGATTGATCCTTGGCCACACAGCACATACGGGTTTATGGCTTCTGACTAGCACCCATGAACAAAGACATTGACAAAATGGGAGGAACACACACAGAGCTCACAGTAGAAGAGTTGATAGTAAGTTGGTACAAATCTCCAGTGGTTACAGGTTCAAACCCACTCAACTTAATTGATAAAATATTACAACAGATAGATCTTGACTTGTTTTGGGATGGAAGGGTCTGGACTATATGTCCTGTGATTGGATGTCTCCCTTCCCCTTCTATGTACATGTGAGTACCCCCTATAATACAATATCTAAGTCCATACTATCTGCATGTTTCTTATCAGTCTTGGGTTGTACCAGTGGAGCGATCGGGTGATCAAGCCCATCAAACGGAGGGACTGGGCTGTGCGAGGAGGAAGCATCACACACACAGTCAACATAATGGTCACACCAAGTGTTGCTGTAAGTTGAAAATGTATCATCAAATAATTGCAATGGAATTACATGTAGTGTTAGATGTATTTTGTTGTTATTTTTCAGAGAGATTGTTTTCAAACAGGATGTCTTCGAAAATGTTTCTTCAACTAGTTTCAGTACTCAATGCAGCTCACAAAATTGAAATCAGAAACAAATGTTTTGAGGACATGTAGGGGAATATTATGAATTTCCTCCCAACGACACTTTGTCAGTTTTGTTTTTAGACAAAAAATCTTTCATTAAATTCAGACGTAGAATATAACTTATGAGTAAACTAAGATTCTCATATTGTTACCTCAATTAAAAAAAAAAAAATTTCTATTTTTTGTACAGAGGGAAGCAAGAGAGCATTTTGGCTGTTCCTTATTAGAGGGAATGGAGCTGGAAAACAACGGAGGCCACGGGACCAAATTAACGCATTTTGAAAAAAGACTTTTAGAGGTAGGGTTTTTTTATTTACGAATGTAAAACTTGCAAATTTTATGCCAACAGAGCATTAAATCCGTTTAGTCTGAAATTCATAAGCAATGGCATGTAATTCACTGTCACAGACAGGGATGTAGTCAAGTCCATCACAAGGCCATCCCAAGTCATGTATCAAGTAAATCACAAGTCCAGTCAAACGTAACAGTGGATGAACAATAACACAGGAATGCCTTTGTCAAAGCTCATTTGAATAGCTTGCGAGTTGAATTGGGACTGGAGGACTTGTGATGGACTTGCAGGGACTTGCGATGGACTTGACTACATCCCTTTAAGCTTGGTCGCTGATGGAAGAATTTATCTTGAAATTTGATGATTTCATAAAATCCTCCGCAAATGTGCTGATTTTTGCGAGTTTTTGCTGTAAATGCTTAATTTTAGCACAGTTTTTCTGATCGATCACTACGTTGCTAAACAGTAATCCTAAAGCATCCTGAGCAAACATAATTAATGCAACAGATGTATAAGGCTGATGGTCCTTGTTACATTGGGCCACAAACATACAGTGCAAAAAAACTGACAATGGATGCTAGTCTTGTTGAACAATGCCACAGTTGTATCCCGCTGCAGTTGGCAACAACACACGCAGGAGTTTTGCCTTGGGAATTTTGCCCTGTGGGATTTTGTCACATTGGGCAGGCTTCTCACTTTTAACCGTGATGCATGTTGTTGAGTCGGGCAGGCTTTCCAGACAGAATATCCTGGAAGGTACACGCACATGGTTGGTCTACTCTTAAGGAGTAATGGAAAAACTCATGGAGCCAGCCACTGACTAGAATATCCATCATGGAGTGGTAATTTTACACAATAGCTGGCACATTGCTTCCGTCATGACTGGGGGCCTTCATGAGTGCTCAGTGATCACATGAAATAGATTGGTTCATTGGGCCTTGATACGGGAGGTACATCTATCCCCTTATCACCAACAGAATGAAGCAATGACTGGAACTCACACCCATGAGCGAGTCTTTTCTCGGCTCACATTAGCAGTCTTGGAAGACACGGGTTGGTATCAGCCCAACTATGACAGGGCTGATCCGTTAGATTGGGGTAAAGGGCTCGGATGCGACTTCGCTACAAAGAGCTGTAAATATTGGATGGATACCAAACGCAACTCGTAAGTCTGAATCAGATCATTTTGTTTTTGTACCCTAACTTTCTCGGATTCTCTGAGAAAGTTTTTGGAGGATTTTGGAGGATTTTGAAGGATAGTGGGCTCTCACGATCCAACGTGACCCTCCATTGTAGTAGGCAAAGATCGTATATGACACTGTGAAGTGGGTAGTAGGCAAAACAACTAGGGAGTTATCATTTTTATAAACAGTGAATGGCACTCAGCTGGGTTTCTAAGGGTTAATGTAGATATTAATGCAAAGCAGATTTGATGTTGAAAATATGCCATCAGTTTTTTACAGCGCTGAAATGTATAAAACTTTGTGAATCTTTAGCAGTGAAACTTGTTTGGATGTCACAAATTTGAATTTGGTCCTGGAATGAACTGGCCGTAATAAGTGGTATGTTTAGAGATGAAATTATTCTAAATCCAGAAAATGTTTTAAAGAGAAGGTGTGAGATCCATTCTCTTGTATTGGATTTTATGTCCCTAAAGATAATGTCCTAAATTGTTTAATGCTTTTTTCTTTCAGTCAGGAAAGTTTGTCGCCTTTCTGTGACGTGATTCGGGCAGAGCCCTTCACGCTAACCTGCAGTGTGGGACGGGCCTCCGTAGCCCTGTGTAATCTTCATCAGTATGACAGAGATTTGGAGCCACAATATCAGGTATGTCAACACAGGACAGTGAGGGAGTGTGGCGAAGTGGGTGGGGTTCATGTCTAATGATCAGAAGTTCAGGGATTCGAATACAGCTGCTGACCATATGTTGTGTCCTTGGGTAAACCACTTCACCCCCACATGCCTCTCTCCACCCAGGAGTAAAACGGGGTACTTGCATTAGCTGGGGAGGAACCTGCAATGGACTGGCATGCCATCCAGGGGAATAGAAGTAATCTCGGTTGTTTCATGCCAAGGAAACTGGAGATAAGCGCCAGCCTGATGGGCCATATAGGCTCATGACAGACTTGACTTTATTACACAGGACGCTGAGATAAACAAATGGAACAATCCATTAAGTCTCGCGCTGAGATGTTCTGACCAATCAAAGCCATGAAATGAGTGCACTCACGTATGACAGACGTGGCGGGAGCATGCAGATCGGATTGGTCTATTGATTTTTTTTTTTTTCCTTGCCAATCTGTCAATCAAAAAAAATTTCAGGTCTCTTATGAATATTTTTCTGATTTTTTTTTCTGAAACTTCTAAACCTTGATTTTGTTTCATTGTTTGATTTTACGCATATAATTTTCTTGAGTGCCAAGTATTGAACTGTGCATGCTGCGTTTACATACATTGTCATTTTATTGATAGACAGATTTCCCTTTTGTACCCTTTTGGACCGTTTGTGTTATCCTTTAAAAAAGAATTGCACAGATTCCTTTTGAGAGTTGTAGAAAGGTACGTAATTATTGATCGACTGACCTTATACCAATCTCATTTTTCTTTATTTCCTACAGTATTTTGATTCATTACCCAGCGTTAGCAGTGAAGATTTAGGGAGGTACGGGGGGACCTCAGAGCTTGCAGATTACTGCCCATTCCAACAGGTGATTCATTGAACCTCTGCTTGTTGCTGGAAATGTCATCAAGTATAAAACCCATTTCAAACTGGTGTTCCAAAGTTTCACCGACCCAAATGTTCTTGAAGATTTTGAATATAGTACATGAAGAGTTCAATGTTGGAAACAGTTTAGAAGTGAATTTGTTAAAATGTGGATCGTTGCAGACATTCAGAACGACTCCAAAGTCTAGTCAATTGAAAGTTAATACATAAGCATTGCTTGTCTGAAACCAAATCTATTTTGATTGAATTGAGTCACTTGTAATTCTACTTGGTATGACATTCCATGAAAATGCTGCTTTCCGTACAAATAACCTGTATACATTATAGTTCATCTTGTTTGTAGTGTTTAAGGTGGCTTTGTAAAAAGGTGAAACCAGGCTTTGACCGAAGTGATAGTGGTTTGTCCAAGCCGTAGTTAAATGCGTGAATAAAAATAAATTAATTAAAGAATAAATATGCATTGCGTAAAATATACGGTGTAATAGAATACAAACCTAAATATATAGTCACTCAAGGTGTAAAATATGGTGTGAAAAACACTGTTCTTTAAATTTTAGATTCTTCTTGCTTTATATATCAATGAGTCTTGTGAAAGAATTTATTCAGCAGAAAGGCGACTCACATCTATTGTTTTCTTTGTTTTGTCCTAACTTTAACAGCAATTTAATTACAAAGAGCCTGATGGTGCTAAGAAGTCCACGACATGTGGAATATCATATAACATGCCAAGTAAGTACTGGAAACACTCGAGGGATGTTGAAGATTTCTTACTGTGGGTAAACTGCATATCATTCGTATAGGCTTAAGAATTAGAAATATTTATTTGTATGCTTTTGCCAGTGGCCTTTAGCAAATAAATATGTCAAGTAATTATGTCCTAGCAATGCTGTGATACTAATTTTTAAATGCTGTGGTTCGGCTGAAGTTTCCAAATTTTCTTTGTTGACCAAGTCATTGCGATAAAATCATTGACTGACTGATAATGTCACTGAGTATTAGTAATGTCCTAAAATATCATGCTGAAACTGTTTCACTTCGACTAACCAACTGAAGCGGTCCAGCTGACACTGATCAACTGACCAGCTGCCAAACGTTCAGGCACAGCTCGTGTATGCAAGTACAGTATTGTCTCTATTATCTATGCTTATTTCTGTGCTTTTCAAACAGGTGGTACTGAGAATGTAGCCGCTGAGTATTACGGCATGGGATCAGTGTGCGTTGAACATGCCGACTCGTGGAGGCAAGCTCAGTGCAGTCAATATCAGGCACAGCAGACATGGGGAGCAGGTTGCTATCAGGTGGGTATCAATAGATGTTGGTAGGGGTTTGCTTCATGGTAGGGGAGGGGGAGGGGCTAGAGGGAGGAAAGGGGAGGGGCTTATGGTATGTGTTGAATATGCCGATTCCTGGAGGCAAGCTCAGTGCAGTTAGTATCAGGCACAGCAGACATGGGGAGCAGGTTGCCATTGGGTGGGTGTCAATAGACTTGGGAGGGGTTAGCTTCATTAGGGGAAGGACGGCAGGGAGGGAGGGGGACAATTGTGGTAAGTTCACTGCAATCAGTACCAGGCACAACAGACATAGGGAGCAGGGTGCTATCATGGTGCTATCAATATACACAAGCAAGGGTTAGCTTGATGGGGGGGGGGGGCAAGGTCAGGGGCTTTGGAAGGAGATGGAAGGAAGATTTGGTCGGACCTTCTCGAACAAGTATCTTCTTAAGGAATACAGTGTTAGACTCTGAGCCGCCATTTCACACTTCAAGTCCTGGCCAGCATTTTTTTCTCAAAAATATGACTGATTATGTGAAATACCTTTCTGATCAGTATTCCTGTGGCAGTGACGGACTGAAGATCACTGTGGAAGGAGTCAACCACCTGTGCTCCTGGAAGGGTCAGCAGATTGAGATCAGCGTGACAACCAGCGCGTACCTCCACACAGGGACCATCATCTGCCCTTCCTGCCAGGAGTTGTGCGGGACCTCCTGCCCACCGGAACAGAAGCCTGGTGTCACGGTGGAGCTGACAGTCAGAGGTACAGGGTTTCTAGCCACTCTAGAAATGAGGGAAAACCTTGAAAATGAGTTCCAAATTTTCCAGTCACAGAGAGATATGCCAGTTGGGCATATGTGCGTCTTGTGCCACGTGTCCAAGTTGTGTCCATTGACTGACTGAAAAAATAGCGATAAGGGGAGAAGGAAGTCAATTGCTTGTCAGCAAGCTGCCTGTGTATTATCAGTATCTTAGTTGCTTTGCTGCAACCACCTCTTGACTTCCCAGCAACCTTGTTAAAGCGAAAATATTTCTCTTGGAATTTTGGAAATTTCTCAGGGAAATATAAGGGAAAACTCAGGGAATTTTGTTTTCATAATGTGCTGCGAACCTTGAGGTAAATAAAGGGAACGTTGGTCCAGAATGGAATTTAGTAAACTGGCCAAACTCTTTCTTTTTTGTTTTGCTAGTAAAAGTTGACCATCATAAAATCAGCCGACGCATCGAGAGTGGTCATTTCCCACTAATTTCCCCTCAAATACTGTTGTTTTTATTGTGATATCTATTAAACCTACAGAGCCTGGTGACGAGGGTGAATGCCCCCGCCTAGCGTACGACACCGTCGGTGCCTGTGTGAATGAATGCAGCAACTGCAGAAGTGAAGAGAAATGCTGCAGTAATGGCTGTGGACGCACATGCCAGAAAACTGTAGTCAAAAAATCTACGTGTGAGTATTGTTTAAGTTTAATGCATCCCAGAACAAAACAGACGTACGTGTAACTGGCATGTTTGGAAGACAGTCAATATCTTGTGTGGATAGCACCGTTTGTACAGATAAAAATGCAGTCTTTCAGAAGATTCGATCAAGCTTGTTCGAGTAGGGATAAATGTAATGTTTTGTCTACAAAAACCTCTTTCCAGGTTTCAGTTTTCATTTTGTTTATTATTCGTTCCATTTTTGTATTTTGTTTTCCATCTGCAGACGAGCCATGCCCAAGCCAGGCCCCCGACGCTGTCAGGTCAAAGGTCACGATACTCACCAGTTTAATTTCATTGTCTTTCGTTGCTATTTTGACAAAATTCTCCTGATAGTATATTTAGTTCAACATTAAATTAACTTTGTATTTGATTTTCTTGTCTAGGTAGACTCAAGGAATTTTGGTCATTTAAAAGTTCATTCCATCGAAAGCCTTTTTTTTGTCTCTATACTCTTTAAATACTTGCCCACAGTAAATTTAATTCAGGCTCTTTACCACAATAATTGCCATAATTGTTTGCATAACATTTAAACTCTGAAGCACTATGCTTCAGACATTTCATTCTTGTCAAAATAATGTTGTGCTTGTAGCATTTATATCCATTGCAAAGTTTTGGTTACGCTTTGTGACTATCATCCATTATTTTCTTTCTGTGTTATGCCTTTTCTCTCTTGGTCTACTAAAAATGTAGAATTTCAAAATTATATTTACTTCTCACATTCTCTTTGTCAGAATTTCTTGATGTTGTTAGACTTTTCACTTTAACTCAGGGTTCTCACTTTACTTATTAAACTGCCATTAAACAAAAAATGTATACGGGCCGATGCGTGTGCCTTGCAATGCATGATGGGAAGTGGCGTACGTATATTTGGGAATGTACACGAGATGTTTTGAGGGAAAACAAAAATGGAAAGTCTGAAATCCTGTCCATTTTTTAAACTGTGAACAGACTGGTTCGTTTAAATACAATGTAGATCGACATCAATCCCAGAATGCAGTGCTGTGCCTAGGGAAATTCTCATTGGCTCTGCTTTCCAATATCTCTATCATATGAGATGCTTTTAGCACTTGTACAAAGATGAACAAAATCTTATACTTTTTATTTAAGAATAAAATCCACAACTGCACTTTTATAGGATAGAAATCGTACTTTTCACAGCATACTTGTAACTTGATGGAGTAAAACTCTGTAATTGTAACATCAAGTTTGGAATTTGGAAGACATTACATCTGTTAAAATTGCCCCATATTCATGTGGAATATGTCAAAGGTTATATGTCAGACATTCCACAGGCCCGGCCATACAGTATTTGCAAATCCTCCAATCAGAGAGCAGATCATATATGTTTGACAACACAATGCTTGAATCACAATGTGTAGACTTATATCAGGTTTTAAGAGGACTGTTTTTGAAGGTTTTGTATGTAAAATATAGAGATGAAAACAAATTTTTTGGACATCAAAATTGGAAACAAAGTTGTTTCTGGAACAGCCATGCCAGCCCTTTTCGCAAATATAAAAAAAAATACTGGGGGGTTTTGCCATTTTATGCAGGTTAAATACATGGATGTTAAGATTTCACTGTCAGTGGAGAGAACATAGAAAGATTGGAAATTACTTTGTGAACTGGAAAGCATAAAAAAAACTGTGACCTTTTTTGGACATTGAAATTCCAGAGGGGGAGTGCACCATCTGGCAGACGGTGGCACTACAGCACAAACTTGTACATATACATTTATGTATATAATTGCATTTTACAACCATTCCTGGCTGTTTTTGTAATCGGCCACTGTTAAGTTTTATAGAAATTTCAAAATGGCTTGCACGCTTTTCTTTTCTTCATTTGCCTCTTTTCAATATAAGAATTTACTTTGGTAGGATATTGTTGACAAAAGGATATCATTATTGGCGGGGAAATGGGAAGGGGGTAGGCGTGGGGGGTTGGGGGTGATCTTATGGGGCATTCCCCGGGTCCAAAGTTGACAAAAAAAGAGAGGAGATACATTATCCTCTGTATAGCCCTTGGAGTTAGGGTGTGAAGGCCGGTTAATATACTTCACCCGAAAGCAAAGGGAAAGGGGATATTATGTCCTTAACAATTATACATTCATGGTAACGTTTGCTGTTTATACCCTAACAATTTACCTTGCACATCTTTGACATATTAGACATGTAATTAGCCTTTAGCAGTTTCAAGGATTTGATTTCTTGAGTAGGTTTCTAGTGTGATTGCAATTTCATACACACACAAAAACATAGATCTGTTGCCAGAAAGTCAACCTCCTTTCCTTCAAAAGTACATTTGCTCTGGGCGCATGCTTAGTTTTATACTGTGTCAGTAGATTACACATTTTATATTCTAATTTTACCACCGAAACAATTTCTTACATTTGTATAAGATCATGATACGTGTAGCTAACTCCCTAGAGGTTGTGCAAAATCGTATTAAAATTGGAGGATTCAGGACTGTTAGGGTTTTAACCTGAAAACATTAGTAGATGTCACTTGTTTATACTGACGTTCACACTTGTTGGTATTTGAATTTGTGTTGACAGACCTCTTGCACTCTTTTCTGCTTCTCTGTATTACTAACATTTACACACACAAAATCATTTATCAATCACTTTTCGCCATTATACCTACGAAGCAGTGTTGTAATGTTTATTCATATTGTGCAATTGAATGTGAATATTTATTTATATCACTTTAAAAGTTGTAAAATTTGAAAGATATTACATTTTTACAAATCTGTCGATTTCAGACCAACGTTGTTTGCCCATGTTGATCATGTTCTTATAAAAAAAATAATGATGATTCAATATCCCGATTACCTCTGAATTTTGAGGTTAACAACTGTTAATGAATCACACCCCAAAGATGCAAAAGGATTGAGATCGTGGCTAAAGCACATTTTTTTTTTAAACCAATATTGAAATAAGGTGTGTAACTAAAAAAGAATAAAACATGCTGTAATTTATGTCTTCTGCTACAAACCTTACATAATTTGAATGAATGATGAAGCTTGTTGCTTTTTTTTGTTTTTTCAACAGTTTATTGTAGAAACCAAATATTTTGGAGTGTTTGTTAGTCACTGTTGCACTATCAAGTATCAGATATATATATACATGTATAAGGAAGCCCGTAAGTGCCATTGAAATATATAAATGACAAAACCACAACAGACACACTGTTATGGTCAATCTGTTTAAATAGAGTACAATTGCCTACTTGCAGTGTATTTTTATTGGTACTAATAGGCTTTCTTAAATATCAGTAATTTTTGACATTAAAGAATGAATGCATATACATGTTCATGCTCTTTACTTTCTTGGTTTTTGGTGTATTAATATGATAAAATTTAATTTTAGCATGTGATTTTTATTCATTAATAAAAATAATAACTTTCAAAAGGGATAGCAGTGAATATTAAATTTTTAACTGAAAATGGCCTGTCAATTTTAAGCATTAATGTGATTTGTGTTTTTTAATATAGCGAAACCCATGATAAATAATTTTACTTGACGAAGCTCATTAAACAGCATTTGATCAAGTTTTCCCTAAAGAGTTCCCACCTGGAATGTATGTACACAGGTGCTTTTCCTTGTGAAACTTTTTCAAGAGCAATTGTGGTAGGAACCGATTGTACATTTTCACTTGTAGATCATGTTTTTTAAAGAAATGTACAAAGAAAACAGATAGCATGTATATACTTCAATCCTCAAAATTAATGTTTGTATAAAACACTGTACATGTATGTTGCAATATGAAGTCATCACAGCGCAATTGAACATTTGAATGTTAATAAAATACATGTATTTGATAATTTGTTTTCCTATTTACAATAATTTGGCGCAGAAACGGCCTCCTACATGTAGTTGGGTCTGAATGCAGTTCTTTTTGTGGGGCGGGGCTATTCTCCCGAATTCAAAAAATTCATTTTAAACGCTTACTCAAAATCCAAAAAAAAAATATTTTAAAAAGACGTCGTTGGGTTTCAAAAAGTTTATTTCATCCACATAGAGCAAACTTTCAAGGCTGGTATTGCAGCCAGCCTTGAAAAGAATTGGGGTCAAAAGCTGCCCCAAAGATAAATTTGTGCGTACGAAAAGTTTTATGAGGCAAACATTGTGCTTTATTTAAGTTCAAATAGTTGACATCGCAAAGCACCTAGTTATCTAAGTAGGTTCTGATACTTGGATTAACACGTGTATTGTCTCCTTAGTATGTCACCGTTTAGGAGTGCTAACATGTAAATTATTCATGTTTCTTTTTTTTCTTTTTTCCCCCCAGATGTTTACACTTGCGGAAAAAGTGTGAGGTCACCAACTTGTGTTCCAAAATTAATTTATTATTGTTGATTTTGGTTGGATTTTTTTGGGAGCACAAATATATTGGGCTTAAATTGATCATGAATTTAACCAAGTACATGTAAACCGAGTACTAACCAATCATGACAGTAGGTGATGTGATCGTGTGAAGGGATATGAGTTGCATTTTGAATCATACTCATTCATGAGGTTAACTCTCTGCTTGTGATGAGCCAATAAATACATGTAGGTCATTCTATGGTTGAGATTTTTAGGATATCAGGATTTTTTAAAATCTCTTCTCAGTTCCGAAATGTAAAATTACTGAGATTTTACAATAAAAGTATAATAACTACATGTATAAAGGTTTTTTGGCCCTTGAAACCCTCTGCCAATTCTTTCAAGGATTTTCCATTTCTCCCAATCTCTGCATCGCATATTGTTTCAATATAACTGTGTTTATTTTTGCTATAACCTGGACTTATAGGTCGGCTTGCGCCTTGCGACTCATTTGTCCCTTCATTGGGTTAATGTAATCTACAGCTAGGTTGTGTTAGGGAGTTAATCTGTATCAGACAACATGGATATTTATACATGAATGCGAGGTTCTGATCATTACCACTTGTTTTTTGCAACGGTTTAACCCAAATTGTTCCAATTCATATAAGCTGTTTTAATTCAACAAAGACTTTAATGTCGGCTGAAATTTATAACTAAATTCATCACTTGCATCTCGCTTGTCTTTTTCTCTTTCCAGGAAAAAAACCACATAGTTATAATAGAGTAGCGGACCTCATAATTTGATAATAAAATTATTTTTAAAAAACCCACAAATTCTGGTAATTGGTGAGTGCTTTGAATCTTGTCCCTTTGTGCATTTCCCAAGTTTTTGATGAAGTGAATCTGGCTTTAAAATGCGCTTCAAAATATTTGATTTGACGATGATCAAGTTTGTATTTTTTTTTAATGGGGAAAAAACTAACTACCTTTTTCTTCTTGGACATTTTCAATCCTCTGAAAATACTTTCTTTTGGTTCGCTTTTGCACCGATAGCACACAAAACGATATGGCTGAATTAATGTTGGGCGGCAAATAATTGGATATTTGTAAGGTAATGTAACGGGGTCCCATCTTGGACAACCAAGGAAATTGAAACTCGAAAGCAAAATATTTCCTAGAATTTATAATAAGACAAATATAAATAACAGTCGGAATGACATTGAAACTGAAACTTACATATTAACAGATTCAGCCACAGCAGTGCAGGCCTATCTACGCGACTACATAAACTTACAAACAACATGCACGGCCAACGCCCAGTCTGAAAGTCCACATGCGGCCAAGGAACCCGGGGATATAGTGAAGGAGCATAACAATTAAAGGAATTTCCTAATAACAAAAAGTAACCCACTTAACCCACTTGTGAAAGTATTTGCTTAATAATAGAGATCCCAACCCATGGTGGAGGGCGAAGGCTTTAATCTACTTAAGAATTCAAAGGCTCTTATAATTAATCCTGTAGACAGGAGCAAGGGCTCTAATTCCAGTGTAGTATATAATTATTCAAAATAGGCAATGAGATTAATCCACTGTACGGTCACAAACAGGGGCCCTACTGGGCGAGGCTATACAAAGGAATTGAAGTATTAAAGTAATGTAGACGCTGTTGTTCAGACCCCTGATACTAGCCTTGTACAGATGCTTATTGTTACTAATATTATATAACTAAAATGTGAGTAAAAGTGATGGACTTTTGTATTGCTTGTAACGATTTTAAAACAAACTTTTTTGGGGGGAATTAAACTAAAAAATGGCACAAGGGAGAGCAACTCAAAGTTGAAAACAGCAAACAGTGATGCTGCATTTTCACAAGTAGTTCTGCTCATACTCAAAATAAAAACAAATAAAAAACCAAAACAGCACTGAAACATATTTGCATTTGATAATCTGTACTCGTCATTTATTATCAACAGTTCTGAAATAAAAGTGGATATAATATGAAAAGAATAGTATGGTCATAAAATACAATCGAAGCTGAAACGTATAATTCAACTAACTGGTATTAGTTAAACTGTTCTGCACACAGTGTTTAAAAATCCAAGGAAAAGTTTTCCCAGTTCCGTCATGAAGAGAGCATGAGGCTTTAACAGGCAAATGATTATTGAATGTGATCGTAAATACCTTGAATGTTTTTTTTTTCATAATTTAAATGTTTAGAAAATTACTGAACAATGGATAAGATGTCATCATGATGTCACTTCAAATTTAACATTGACAATTTTTATCGTTTTTACGCTCTACTTTCAAGCTTGAACAGCTTTTTTGTGGCAGACGCCGAAAGGGGGAAAAAATGGGGCATTGGAGGTTTTTGAGAATGGGGCAGAGGCAATTCTTAATAAAATAATAAATCCACTAAAGTTGATCTAAATTAAAAGACTTCTATGGCAGATTGAGTAAATAATAGATGTGAGTAAAGCTGCTTTTCCCACATCCACGTTTTCAGCCAGTTTGGGGTCTATTACGTATTTAGGAGTATTCTCAAGTATTGGCCTTACAACGCAATGAACTGAAAATGTGCATGTATAGTAAGGCTGCTTTACATTTAAGCAAACAATGCAAACATTGCTGCATTTTTTTTGGGGGGGGTTACAAATACAATTGGAATATGTGGAAACCGTAAGAGACAGAATTTAAAAAAAAAAAAATATGAGAGAATATCATGTCGTTCAAACACAGTTTTAGCGTCTTCCCGTCGTTCCCATTTTTCTCTTGCCAGCAAACAGATGTTTGGGCATCTTGCTGGGTATCTTGCGATCCGCTTCGCCCTTCTTGGCCAACATGTTGCTCTTGCGCTGCACCACTTTCCTCATCTTCTCGACCTTGGTTTGTTGCTATGGGATACGAAGAAGAAAAAAGGAAACATCACTCAAAGCACAGGCATTATTAACTGGGATGTAAGTCCTACAATTACAGGATTTCCGGGTTTTTTTTTTTTTTACTAATTAGCAACTTTACTACACTGTATTTTTTCCCTGAGGAGTCTACAAAACCAAACAGTGCTTGAGTTGTTTAGGGCTGTACAGGGAGTAACAGGCAGGGCGGTTTTGGGCAGTACGAAGACTTACGGGTTTATAAATTGTGGGTGACAGTTCTGGTGTTATACATCATATGGGTAGTTCTATAGATTTGGGGTCCACTTTTTTTGTAAATTCTGGATGCACTCCTTAATGCCTTTTTCCTCTAAAGAGTGATTTATGTAAAGCAAATTACCTATCCAAAAAAAATAAGAATAGTTTGAACGAATTTTTTTATGATACTTAAGAGGGAAATTAAAAAGTTGAGAGGTAACAGAGACAGAAAGAATGTCACACATTGGACCCTAAATTTATAGAATGGCCCACATACCCTTTTTTGGGGGTAAACCTCAAATTTTCATCTCAAATGTCACTACCATGCACAGCATGTTGAAAAAAGTAGATTATTTTTTAAATAAGGTGACAACAGGTAACAGGGGATGAACAATGACAGAATAGCTTGTGAAATGAATTGGCATTCGATGACGTGTGATTGACTTATCAAGTCTTCACAAAACTCAATGAAAAAAAAAACCCACAAATGTCTAAATATTGCTTATTTTCAACAATTCCTTCGGAACACCCGAGTACATGTATATCTCTTACCGTCTGGTCCCGGACTCCCGACAGATCTCTTGGTGTGCGCATACTGCTGACAGATCGGCCCCGCGAGTCTGTGCGCTGCTTCTTGGGCGTCACCGGTGTTCTGCTGCGAGATCGAGCCCGGGTATAGTGACCCTAAAATATACAACATATGAACACAAAAAAATAGTACCAAAGCAAAGAAGTTTTTCTCTCTAATACCAACAAGGTATGGGATAGGAAACTATCTGGGATTAAAAAAGAGGCTCGCCAAAGATGGTGTGAGGGGGAGAAATGCTTTAGACTCCAATAAACTTGTCTTTCTTGACATTTTACAATTGTATTGAGCAGTATCTGTGAAACAAACATTCCAAGTAGTAGTATCCACTGGACATATTCTTTGAAAGAGGAACCCAGTCCAATGTAGTGATGGCACACAAGTGTAACCCTTTCAACTGCGTGTACTTCACTAACAGGTGGATTCCAGATCCAGCACATCTTGATCACTCCAAATTAGCAAAGAATACCCTAAACGAAGTATCTGAAATGTTTTAACAGAAGTGTCGATTTGCTCCGACTTTGAAAGTAGAATCAGTTTTTTTAAGTAGAGATGCCACCATCAAATTAGCTGGCCACCAAAGTGTTATTGGATGGTGTTCTTTTCTACAAATATTCAACAAATTAGTCATTAATTTCCTTTTTAATTATCTGATATATCAAAAAACTATAATTTGAAAATTGTGGTCCAAAACCATGATAATTTGTGAGAAGAAAAGTTTCCCCTTTTTTATTAATATTTACCCCTTCTGCAGGCTCCACACCCAGCTCAGCCATCTCCTGCTCAAATCGCTTCCTCT